AGAATCAGTATACCACAAATGATGAAGCGCTGCAAGAAATGATGTACGAAATGAAGGCATTACCTTCTAATCAAGAGCAAGAGCATCAGTATCAAGTACCACCTACACACAGCAAGAAATACATTGAAGACAAATGGCCACTCCGTATAGTGATATGTTTATTAGCCATTATATTGGTATTGCTTATCACTTTAGTGGGCATGTGTGGCTTTTTAATATCACAATCATCTGCTGAATGCAGTGCCACTCCTACTGGTGCTACGAATGCTGGTCTGACTGCTACTAACAATCCAATGTGCCAGTTGTTTAATGAATCTATTACTCACTTTGCGCAAGAAATTCATAAAAGAATTGGTAATATTGATGTTACTAACAGTACCAAGGTTCTTATGCAAAAAAGCATTGAGCAATTGGCCCTTCTAGATGAACTCCTTGAGGCTGCTATCCTCACAAATGATGTTACTAACAGCACCAAGGCTGAGCAATTGGCCTTGCTAGATGAACTTCTTAAGGTTGCTGTTCTCACAAATGAAGTTACAAACAGTACAAAGGTTTTTGTGCAGGAAAGCATTGAGCAATTGGCTTTCCTAGTTGGTATAACGGAAGAAATCAACACAAAAGTCAACAGTACAGATGAACTTCTTGAGGCTGCTGTTCTTACATACAATGTTACTAACAGCACCAAGGCTCTTGTGCAGGGAAGTATTGAGCAACTGGCCCTTCTGGTTGGTATAGCTCATGAAATCAACACAAAAGTCAACAGTACAGATGAGCTTCTTGAGGCTGCTGTTCTTGCAAACAATGTTACTAACAGCACCAAGGCTCTTGTGCAGGGAAGTATTGAGCAATTGGCCCTTCTGGTTGGTATAGCTCATGAAATCAACACAAAAGTCAACAGTACAGATGAGCTTCTTGAGGCTGCTGTTCTTGCAAACAATGTTACTAACAGCACCAAGGCTCTTGTGCAGGGAAGTATTGAGCAATTGGCCCTTCTGGTTAGTATAGCTCATGAAATCAACACAAAAGTCAACAGTACAGATGAGCTTCTTGAGGCTGCTGTTCTTACAAACAATGTTACTAACAGCACCAAGGCTCTTGTGCAAGGAAGTATTGAGCAATTGGCCCTTCTAGTTGGTATAGCCCATGAAATTAACACAAAAGTTAACAATACAGATGAACTTCTTGAGGCTGCTGTTCTTGCAAACAATGTTACTAACAGCATCAAGGCTCTTGTGCAGGGAAGTATTGAGCAATTGGCCCTTCTGGTGGGTATAGCTCATGAAATCAACACAAAAGTCAACAGTACAGATGAGCTTCTTGAGGCTGCTGTTCTTGCAAACAGCACCAAGGCTCTTGTGCAGGGAAGTATTGAGCAATTGGCCCTTCTGGTTGGTATAGCTCATGAAATCAACACCAAAGTCAACAGTACAGACGAACTCCTTGAGGCTGCTGTTCTTACAAACAATGTTACTAACAGCACCAAGGCTCTTGTGCAAGGAAGTATTGAGCAATTGGCCCTTCTGGTTAGTATAGCTCATGAAATCAACACAAAAGTCAACAGTACAGATG